AACAGGGAACACGTCTCATCTTTTCCTGTAGAAAACAGAACGGGATAAGAATGTACTGCCTGACATGTAAGACACTTAAAGAACTGACGTGTTAGCCTTCCCAGGCTCGTGCAAGGGAGGCCCCTCAGGTAGCTGAACTTGGGAGAGTGTCCAACGCCAAGAACCAAAGATACGCTAAAGCAGAATAAGGTCAAGTGTATTCAGATGATAACACCGCTCTGTGCACCCGCGCCCCACTGTTAGAAGCAGGTGAAAAGCACAAACCAAACAGAGGCATCTCAGGGTGCACGCACGCTGCTGTCACCCAAACCAGCAGCCCTCCTACCCACTTCTCGGGAGTAGCTGCCAATGCTGCATCAATGGGTAAGGCCACCCAGGGGTCACAGGAGAAGAGAGGGACCCTAACAACCCCTAGACAGTGTCCGTGAGCTTGGATCACAGAGCAGTCTTTGCCCTAGTGAAGATCTTTGGGCCAGGCGTTGTAATTCAGCTCTGCTCCCCTCCCCTTTCATTCTCTCCTGTGCAGCTGTGGGGCCCAGCCTCTGCAAGCCACATTTTTCACTTCCCCAGGATGGGCCACATTACACTCTTCCAGCAGGAGGCGCCAAAAGAAAGCTGCAACACTGGAGAGAGAGAGAAGGGATTTCCTTTACTGTTTGCTTCTTGGTGACTTCCTATCTGTTTGATCTATCGTGGCCATCTAAACAGTTATTTTTACAGAAGAGTTCAATCTTGTAAGCAGCTATTTTTACACAAGAGTTAAGTAAGCACTTCCAATTACTACAAAGTAGAAGAACCTAGGAGCTGTCACGTTCATTCTTTTTCGTGTACTGCACAAGAGAAGGTGGGAAAGCCCTCAGCATTTGGGCCTTCAGATGGTCCCCTCTTGTTTCTGATCTTTATTTACTCAAACTTTAACCTTCTTCCTGCAGACTCTGATCAAACCTTCACCCTCTAGAGTCCTTACCTATGTTTTTAGGGAATCTTAACTTCTTCCCCTACGAGAAAGGAGACACATCATTGCGTGTGGTTAAACTATACAGACTTTGTCCAGACGGTGATGGAGCTTTCCTTGGTCTGGGGTTTGCCAGAGGAATGCAGGAAGTTTCTCAGGGCTCTGTGGGCTCTGTTTAATGAGATAAAGATGATAAGTGATCTGATTCTGTATGACTTCTTCATCAGTGAGTGCTACTGCTGCTTTCTACTGTAAGAACAAAGGCAACTCACTTCCATGAGTATTAGTTTTCTAGCCAAAACAACATCTAGCATCATGTGAGGAAGACATAATCTTCATATTGATGTGACTTTTAATCTATTCTTTTGGGAAAAAATAATTCTTGAATTCCTGGATATACACTTTTTTTGCTTTTTTCCTGATCATTTCCATATTACTAGAACTATCATTTTAGTTTGGAATTGTTCTTTATGAATCATTTAGGGAGAACGGTGCCAGCTCTAAGTGGATTCTTTCTGACAATGTGGTATGTCCTCACAGAAAACTGTAGGTGATGGTGAGCGGAAGGGAATCTCATTCTGTCCAATCAGACTACCTGTCTCTGTATCTCTACCTCTACCCACAAAACCATGATAGCTGATCTTCTTGTTCAAAGCACTTGAAGCAGTACCAAGAGTATTCAGATTAAGTCTCCCTTTTCTTCATTAACATAGAGTTTGAGATTTCTCAGCCAACAAGCAGCTGATCTCATTCCAAAATCATAAACTAATATGGGTTCTTCTAGCTAAAGTTCTAAGAATATAACCACAACACTTTCCAATAAAAAAGGGAGGAGAATCAAAAAGAATAGCCCTGGATGGTGTGGCTCAGTTGGTCGGAGCATCATCCCGTACACCAAAAGTTTGAAGGTTCAATTCCCAGTCAGGGCCCATACCTAAGTTGTGGGTTTGATCCTCAGTCGGGGCGCATTTGGAGAGAGAATCAATGGTTCTCTCTCATATCTTTCTCTCCCCCTTCCTATCTCTCTAAAATCAATAAACACATTTTAAAAACATTTTTTAAAAAAGACACACATTGTTCTTGCACAAATAAGAGACTAAATTAATAGAAATGCCACCATTTAAAGATTAGTGACATGGGATCTCTGCACTGAAAAATGTATTGTTTTTAAATAATAGAAATAAATGTACAAGAATTACTAAAATAATGAAATGTTTAGCGAAAGCTTCTCTAGAAAAGTAAAAATAAAGTAAAAATATGAACTCTCTATTACAAGAGACAAAACAAGAAACAATGTGAAAATGAATGAAGATACAAAGGCAGAGCTAAGGAAAGAAACTGAAGTCAAAAACAAAATGAATATATGAAAAATGATATAAATGGAGCCACTTCAAAATAAAAGTGGAGCTTTTATTTATCCCAGAGAAACTGCCTTGTATCTCCCTCCTACTCCTCAACCTGTGGAATGTCTGAAATGGGCAAAACAACTTTGGAACTGGGCCAAAGCAACAGTTTATTCCAGACAACAGTTTGCAAAGCTAACAGGAAAGTGTGCATCCTATCAGACTGAAAATTAAAGGCATCCATGTGTACCTGAAGAATAACTTAGCTTATTTGCACCTATAGAAATTCCTTCCTTGGCTTACTAATGTGAATGGAAATGACTTCCTTCTATTCACATAATTATTTCCCCTCCCTTTGTTGTAAATAACCTTGTCTTTACTTCCTAAAAGAAACACTATTTGGGTTTCCGCCTGAATAAGTGCTTCCAAGAATTGCAATTCTTTTTTTATCTCAAATGTTCACTGCCTCTAATTTTAACCTTTTATTTTTGGATTAACAAATGATATTAAAAAAAAAAATCTCCATGTGAAGCAGTGAGAGAGAATTGACCCAAAAGAAAATTTAAAAAAAGTGGAGAAAGGGCACAGGGTGCAGTGGAAAGGATATAACTCAAAGGGAAGAAAGCAAATGAAAAAAGGTAGCTGTCTGAGCCTCTTTCTGGTGCACTCAGATTTATTCTCCTTGTCTTCATGAGCACATGGATGCCCAGCTAGACTCTATTTTCCAGATCCCCTTGTAGCTCCATGTGTGGCCACATGTCCCAGTTCTCACCAATGAAATGTGAATTATGCAAGGAACTTGTTTGGACAAGACTTTTTCAGACTTGCATCGTATTTTGAATCTGTTTCTGTGCAAATCTCTTTATTTCCCATTCTCCTTTCAGACGTATCAGACCAGCATTTCTGCCTGAAGCCTCTCCCTGCCTGCTCGCTTATACCCAACCTGATAGGCTATGCTTTCAGTGTTTCATCATTAGGTATGATGCTTTTTTAGCATAGTCTCTCAAGTCTCTTCTACTTCTAGAAATTTTTTATCACGAATGAATGTTGAATAATATTTAAAACTTTTTACACATACATTGGCAGCTTTTTTCTCCTTTAACCTTGTAATATGGTTAACCATATTAATTGCATTAATCTTTCTTCTAATATTAAACCAACTTTGAAGCCTGTTGATTGTGACAATAATATTTTTAGAAGTCAGAATTCAAATGAGCAGGAAATATACATTCTTTAGAGACAAAGTAATTATCAGTAACAGATTTACCTACACACAATAAGCAATATGTGGACATTTATTAATATTTTACTAAGCAGTTGTTTTAACGTGAGTTGTGTCTTTTATTTCTTTGCCTTCATCAGTAATGCAGTTATTTATGTAATCAGTAAACAAGCATTTGTTGAGCATTCATTATTCATGAATAAATGCCATCCATTCTTTTGGTACTAGAGTACAAACATGGCAAAGCCATAACCATTGCAATTAAGAAGCTCATAATTTAAGTTTGTGTATAGAGTACATGTATGGGTGTGTGTATTGGATCACAGGATAAGGTTGGCACAAAGAGATAGTAGGGAAAAAACACGGAAAACATATAGTAAATGCTGTACTATAAATGAATGAACAAAATGCTAAGGAAATAAAATGAGGAAGCACTCCCCACTGGAGCCTTTAGACTTGAATCTTGAAAGGCAATACATCAGTATTACAAAAAAGATGATGGTGGATATGGAAATACAGACACTTGTGCTGGTTGAATATTTATTGGTATGTGCCAAGATATTACGCCCTTGGAGATAAAGTAGTGAATAAATCACAAAAATTTCTGCTGTTTTCGGTTGAAATTCTATCATTCACAGAAAGAAACAACTTGCCCAAAGAAAGGATCTTTCCTGCTCAGGAAAGCTTTTGTATGAGCAATCAACAGTTCTGGTGGACGCAGGGAGCAACGAAACCTGATGTGTGCTGCCTATAGGAAGACCATACTGGAGTTTCTATTTATCATTCCGTTTTTAGAGTCTTCAAGCATTAATATTTTCCTACGTTCATGTATGTAACTTACAAGTTATTATCTGTATATTGGGAGTGTGGGCTCAGGTTTTATTAATGCGAGTAGTAATACAACTAGACCACTCCTCTATAGAGTTCTCTGAACTCCCCATAAGAAAAATAATTTGAATTTACCTGTATTTAAAGCCACATAACACTCATGTCTGAAACACTAGCAAGACAGGAATGCTACATAACAGAAGGAGTGGCTGGGGAAATTTCCTTTCTTGAGGGCCTTACTTTAACCAATACCAGAGGAGTTACCTATATAGTTGTTAATAAAAATTTAAAGTTCTTAGATGTTGTTTGCTGGTTTGGGTCGCCACTGAAAACAACTCTGATTTTTACTCTCTGTATGTTCAGATACTCAGAGGTAATCCACAAGATCCACCAGGTACATGGTCTGAGAAGAGCAGAACAACAGCACGAGGCAAACTCTGCTCAGGCAGTGCAACACTATCTGGGGCTCAGCAAGAGGGACTTCGCTGAATAGCCTGGAGCGCCCCCAAGCGCCAATCAAACCGGCGCCGGGCCGGCGTCACGTGCCCTACGGGCGCTGAACTCGCGCCTGCGCGCTGCTGTCCTACTCGCTCCTTTTCTACAGGGCAAGCCCGCCTTCCTACCTAGTCGTCACTTCCAGCGGACGCTTAGCGTCTTTGGAGTCGTCATTTCCTGCCGGTGGCTGTGTGGACGGTGGGGGTCCTGGCCACCGGTTCTCTGCGTCTCCCCTTCCCCTACTTTCCTCCCTCTTCCCTCCCTCTCCCTCCCTCGGCGGCTGTCTGTCGCCGGTCGCAGACTCCCTGACCCATCCCTAAACCTTTCCTGACCTCGGGATTGGCCTCCTTTTCCTTTTCCCGGCCCAGCCCCAGCCCCAGTGTCAGGGAGGGGGCCTTAAGGAGCCGGAGGCACTGCAGTTAAGGAGAGAAGAACAAGACGACCCTCGGTTCCCCATCCCACTTGCTGGGTTCGCTGCCGCCATGGCCATGAGGCAGACTCCACTCACCTGCTCCGGCCACACGCGGCCTGTGGTTGATTTGGCCTTCAGTGGTATCACGCCTTATGGCTATTTCTTAATCAGCGCGTGCAAAGGTAAGCAGGGCCACTGCTCCGGGTGTCCAGGGGGCTAGGACTGGGCCGAAAGGGAGTGAGGCCAACGCACCCCCGTGCCCAAGGGGTTGTGAGGATGCCAGCCTTGGAGATCAGGGCCGGAGTAGTGTTTGGGATTCCCCGCTGGAGCCAAGAAAAGCTTCTCTGACGCCTCTAACAAGGCCAAGGATTGTCTCCAACTAAGGCTTCTCATTTTACTTTTATTGCTATTTCTGGAAAAGCGGGACTGCTCACTTGTCAAGACGCCCGGCCCGGCAAACTGTAAATATCTTTTTAAGGTTTGGGGAATGGAAAAGCTAGGCCAGACTTAGTAATACCTTATCTTATTTTACAAAGACCTGTCACCCCCATTACTTCATTGGATATTCCTTTGTGGTATTAGCCCCATTTTTCAAGTGGACATTGAGATTTAGGTTAACAGGTTTGTCCATAATAAGACCCAGTTCTGGATTTTGATTTAGCTCGGTATTCTTCCCAGCGAATTACCAATGCTTCCTAGAGAGCTCAGTTCCTCAGTTAATTAAGTTAGTTTATTTAGTTAACTTATATATACAGGGTAGGACAAAAGGAGGTTTACTTTTGAAAGAAAAAAGTATGAGACATAGTTTATTCTTGTATTATTGCTTACTAATTACTGTGGTATTTTGCATACTAACAACTTGTAACCTACTGTTGCCCCACCCTGTAGTTAAGTGTAAGTTAATTTATTTCTAGATGTTCCTTAATCTCAGTGAGTATAGTAAGATAGAAAATGCAATTTTCCACTTGTTATTGAACATGACTATTTTATATTTAAATCTAAGATTTCAAATAATCTGAACTTCTAAATCACATATCTTCTTAAATTTTTTTAGATGGTAAACCTATGCTACGCCAGGGGGATACAGGAGACTGGATTGGAACTTTTTTGGGTCATAAGGGTGCTGTTTGGGGTGCAACATTGAATAAGGATGCCACCAAAGCAGCTACAGCAGCTGCAGATTTCACAGCGTAAGTATAGCCAAAATGGCCAGCTTTGGAGGTGTTTGTGGGTTGTGTTCTGAAATAATCAAGCTTCAATCCCAGTTATTCATAAAATTCTGATTCAGTACCACACACAACAAATGATGTTTGTTCTCACCAAAATTCCACCCTGGTCCTGTCTGCTGTTTTCTCATCAGTGGTTCTCAAAATTTTCAAACTGAAGTGACTTACTCTGCATTTCTGGATGGGGACCCAGGAATCCACATTATTAACAGGCGCTCCAGATAGTGAATGTTGGTGGTCTTGTTTAGAAATGCTGCTCCACATGTGCTTCCTGAGTGACAGATAGACTCCTGTGACTTTCTAGAGAGTTGATGACCCCAAATATTTTAGCGAAGTCTCACTGTCAATTTTTGTTAACTGGCTCTAGACATATTGGAAGCTCCCCGACTGAATTACTCTTCATTTTATAAGTTTTTAAAGTTCTTAATTTTTCCTTGGCATCCAGATTTCTTCATCTTGTTGATTGTACCAGCAGAATGTTTCTTGACTGCAGTGTTTCTTATGCCTCTACCACTGCTTTAGTTCAGGTCCCTGCCACTGGTCTCCCTCGGTCTAGTCATCTTCCATAGTGCTGCCAGTTTTCTTCCTAAGAGCAAATTTCGTCATGTCATTTCTCTAGCTAGTACTCTTCCTGTCTTTCCTCTGCTGTTTCAGTGGTTCATGACCTTGGGTGTACAGTAGAATAATCCGAGGACGATTGAAAATATCCAGATGTGTGTATCCAAGAAATTCTGATTTGGTCTGCAGTGTAGTGCCAAGCATGTTTGTTTTTCTTCCCGAAAATTGTTCTTAGTGAATCTGATGTGCTGCCTTAGAACCACTGGCCTAGAAGTTAGACTTCAGTTACTGACATTTTAAAATCTGGCCTCATCCTAGTTCATCAGCATCATCAGGCACTGCACATCATGTGCCCTACAGTCTAGTAATACTCCTTGTTGCCAGAATACACCTTAACCTATTTTGATTTTTTGACTTTTGTATATGTTATTAGAGTGACTTGAAGTAACTCACTTTCCTCTTTACGGCATGTATCATATTTTATATAATCTTGTCATCTCTAGTTCCTAACTGTGTTTGTGACTTAGCAGGCACCTAAATGTTTAAACTAGTGAAGGCAATGTTAAGAGCTGTTGCACATGTAACAGACTTTATTAGACTTAAAAGAGTCTGGAGAATAAAAGTGGTTCTGTGTTTGTTTCCGCCCCGCCCCCCCCAAGCCAATTTCACACTGAAGAGCAAATGTAAATATGTTGCTCCTTTGTGTTAAGCAAATTAACATACCAAGTTTATTATGGAAAATAAAGACAAATTGATTGTGGTGGTGGGTACATGATTGTGCATTTGTCGAAACTCAGAGACTTCTGTACCACAAAGGGAATTTTACTCTTGTTATTGGGTTGGCCAAAAAGTTTGTTTGGTTTTTTCTGTAAGATGGCTGTATTGAGCACTTAGTTGTCTTTAATGTCATTTGAATCAGCTTTGTATTGTGACAGCTGTCATATCTGCGTGCATTACCAAAATTGGAGAATTTTTTGTGTAGTCATTTTAATATTGAAGATGGAAAGAAATATGCAATATTTTTGGAATAATTGCTTCATTATTTCAAGAAAGATAAAAATGAAATTGAAACACACACACACAAAAAAGGATTTTTGTAGTGTATGGAGAAGGTGCTGTGACTGATCGAAAGTGTCAAAAGCGATTTGCGAAGTTTCATGTTGGAGATTTCTCCCTGGACAGTGCTCCATGGATGCTCCAGAGTTGGTAGACCAGTTGAAGTTGATAGCGATCAAATCAAGACATTAATTGAAAAGATTAAATTTTAAAAAAAGACTAATTGAGAACAATCAGTGTTACACCACGTGGGAGATAGCCAATATACTCAAAATATCCAAGTCAATAAAGTTATTGGTGAAAATTAAAGACATGTCTTTTATTTTACAGAAAAAACTAAACGGACTTTTCCCCCAACCCAATAAAATTTTAAAATAAGTTAAAATTTTTAAATAGGGAGAGGGAGATCAAGCTGCTTACATGGAGTTAAATTTGAGATGCTGAGAGATTAATAAGAAAAGTGACCATTTTTTGTCTGAACTTTTTTACTGTGTCTTCAGTGAATATTATGTGGTTATTCATAACCACAATAAGGCTTCATGCTGTGCCCTGTTGTGAGTGTATGCAATATTGATAAAATAAGGAACTGCTTGGTTTTATATAAGTCTTTTAATGCCAGAAGCTTCAGGTCAAATGTTGCTTTAGATATTAGTATGCATGCTTATAATGTGACACATTCCTTTGATTGTTAATTATGGAGGTCAAAATAGGAAATAAAAAGGATGCTCAGACCAGGAAGACTGATGGAGTGCTGGAAGGTGAGGGTGTCTTGTTTCCTCTTTTGTGCTCACACCATCTCTGGTGTTAGACCTTCTGACATTTTTATAGTACTTAAGTGGTCTATGTGTTGTTGTTTCTTGAGGTCAGGGGCCATGTCTTGGGTTTTTTGTATCCCTATCTTATTCAGTACTTAATGTTTGCTGAATAACTAATTTGAGGAAATTTTCTAAAGTAGAAGAATAAACGACGGATGAATTACAGATCGTGGTTTTGCTTCTGGAACATAACATTGTCATTGGGAATGAATGTCATTGATTTTATAATAGAAGATTGGGATTAATAACTCTAGATTTCAAATACTTGGTAAGTGGATTTTAAAAATGCCATTACAGAAACTAGGTCTTGGTCAAGTAGTGCTAAGTTAATATTTAGTAAAATGGTGTTTTAAGTGAAGTATAATTAAGTTATTGATATAAATATGACAAGATTTAGACACTATCAGCATTCGCACTAAAAGAGACAAACTCTTTGAATTGCAGTTCCAGAAAGATCCATTTTTATTAACTTCAATTCTGTGTTATCTGGCCCTAACAATGTTAATTACAAGAACAAAACACTTCATTGCCTCCTGCTTGATGGTCTTGCTGTGATCATTTTTATTTTTTAAATTTTTTAATTGATTTTTTTTTTTTAGAGAGAAGGGAAGGGAGGGGGAGAAACATCCATTGGTTGTTTCACATATTTATGCATTCGTTGTCTGATTCTTGTATGTGCCCTCACCAGGGATCCAACCTACAACCTTGGCATGCAGGGACCTACCAGGCCAGGACTTGCTCTGATCTTTAAGGGACCTGTGCACACTATTGTTAGGAAGGATGCCTGTTTCTAAAACCTGTGAAGATTCTCAGTTTGTACATTTGGCCAAACTGTAATGCCAGTCCTCAGGAAAGAAATAAAGGACATTAAATAGAAAGCACTATTCATGTGATAATTACTCTGAAATGGAGAGAGAAAAAGGTTTGAAAATGGTACTTCAGATACTTAACAAAATCTTGAGAAGAGTATTCAGGATTTCGTCTTGCTGCCAGAGGAACAGTTATCTTTGGTTAGGTCACTTACAGAGCGTTAAAAGCCAAAACCATACACTTGAAGATATGCCTTTGGATAGGTATTCAGTGTTATTTTTGTGCTTTCTTAACATTGCAAGTCTACATCTATATTAAAAAATGGAATTAAAGGCATGGATGCTAGTTTAGACTTGAATTCTGTACTTAAATTCTGGCTCCATCATTGAAGAGCCACATGACCTTGGGAACTTACTTTAACCTCTCTTTTTCTCAGTTTCATCATCTGTAGAAATGAGAATAGTAATAGTGCTTACTTTATATATTGAATGTAAACAGTAAGTAAGTTTATATGCCCCTAATATTTAGAATATTGCCTAAAACCTAATAGCAGTATAAGTGTTACATGTGTAAGGAAACAATAATTGCCAGCACCCCCCACTAGATCAAAATATGTATGGTTTGTAATTTATATGACTGAGACCATGAAACCTTTTGGTTTCATTCAGAGAATTTAGAGTAGATACAAATATCAAGGAGGAATACTACTTTTCTCCCTCAGTTAAGGCATTTAAGTACCACGATGCAGTGGGAAATATGTGAGCCTTTGCATTAGGTGTGGCTGAGTTCACGTGCTAGCCATACTTTGTATTTCCAGTTTGATCATGGGATGTTTCTTATGCTTGTTTTTTGTACCTATAAAATGGTTGTAAGACAAATGCTGTTATGGGAAGAATTGCAGAGATCTTTCTTCACTTATATCCCTGGAGTCTAGCGTAGTTTCTGTTACCTCGTAGGTGCTACATAAACAGTAGTGGAGACTGACTCCTTATTTTTTCTGTGCCTGTGAGGTGTGGGAGTGTGTGCATTCATTGTCTGCATTCTCCTCTTCTAGTGACTTGTCTGGGCCTTTCTGCTACGGAGCTTGATCCAGCTAAAGAATAGCTTGCTTCCTCAACTTCCCCGATTAATTTTAGTTGGTATAAATCATTCTTAGAAACTTCTTTTTTCCCTTCTCATTCTTAGTTTCTCAGAAAATTCAGTAATGTCATGCCCCTCAGAGGTGACATTTATGCCTGTTTCTTGTGGAAGAAAATATATTCAGCAGAGCCTATTTGTGGGTCAATTTAGAAGGCTATTTTGAGATAATTTGGGCAGTCAAGTCAGGGCATGAGTACGTTATCCCTGAAACACCATCTTTATATATTATCTTTTAATTTACAAAGCTAATGTTAACATTACTTACCATGATCCTCTCAGCGCCTCCATTTTCCTCTCATCAAAGTCATCTGGAGAGAGTGCCAAACAGAGAAGATTCCTGTGCTCGTCTCCAAGAGAGCGTTTAAGTAGACCTGGGGTTGGGCCCGGGAAGCTATTATATTATACATAACCAAAGTGTATGATCACCATTTTTTTTTAATAAAAGTCAATGGAAAGATCTAATTTTTCTCTGAATAATGTTCTCAATAAATCAAGGTGATATCTCCTTTTTGATGACTTGGTCAGCATGTTAAGATAGGCGTCCCTCCACCCCCCCGCCAAAATAGTTTGTTTTGTTCAGGCTTTGAAGAAGTTAAGGAGCCCCTCCTTTGAGACTTGTGGTAAGTCCATTCTCAGAATACGAAATGTCCAACAGGTAGCACTGTGTGCAAGAAACTGAGGCTATAAGAGGTATCAATTCAGTAGTGTAGGAAGATGATGAGTACTTCATGGGTTGTGCGTAAAATAAATGCTACCTCAGGTGAAAGGATATTAGTGAAGATGGCTTCATTGTCTTGATTTGCATTCTGCAGCCAGCTAGTTAGTACCACTTTATTGCCTGAAGATTGAAAAATACATTAGGAGGCAGGTTATCCCAGTTTCTTTTGAGGACTCTAAGCCCTTTTTCAGACTCTTACTGTGATAATGGAAATATGCCAAAGTTATTACAAGTGATTAGAACATACTCTCAGAGTGTCGACCTCGGGTTTAGTAGTGTTACTAAATAGGAGGAAAAAGACTAGATGCATTGCCCCCCTGGATGCTGCTGCTTTGCTCATGCCAGTTCCTTCTTCATGAGTGAATGGACATGGTTTAAGCAGGATCTTAAGATTTTAAGGCGATTTTGAAGATTATTGAATATATTTGAAAATATTTCAAAGGACATTGCCCAGAGTTTCTTTGAGACTTGGCTTCATGTGAATAACTAAGTTTCAGGTATATTTGTTATTTTCCTCACTTTTGACACCTTCTGTCATTCCACCAGTCTGGAATCCTAATCTTTGTGAAATCTTGTCACTGATTTCCTTATGATCAAGAGTAAACATATGCTAAAAATAAAAGCAAAAAAGCAAAGTTAGTCGCATAACCAGTATTAGCTGAGCTTTGTGGAAGAAAAGATAGGGATGGTTACTGGAGGCGAGATAAATGAAAAGTTTCATAAAAGTACATCATTTGAAATGAGCCCCGAGAATGAGTAGAACTTTGGATAGCTGAGGGCAATTTCTACAAAAAATAGGGAAAAAATACACGGCTTGTTTCAGGGATAGTTTATAATCTGGAACGGCCAGATCAGAAAAGCAATACAAAATGAGTCAGGAAAGTAGGTCTGGGCCAGAACTGAATTGGAAATGGGAGAGATTGGCGGTTTCCTTTGCAGAGAGAAATGAATTCTTGAGAATTTACTACTCATAGTTGACTTTATTTCTCCCAGAATGTATGTATTTAACCACCCATGACTCAAATATGTAATAGGTAAGATTTATTTTATATCATTAGTATTTATTACTGTTGAATGGTCATTCATCTGTTTTACCCTTGTACATGCTATTAATGCTTGTCTACAATATTCCTTTTTTTTTTTCCTGGTGTATTTCTACTTGCTCTTTGAGACTGTTGGCTTCCGTTGATTAGATTTTCCAGAATTTCCGGTATAATTAATAGTGTTTTTTTTCCCTGTGTTTATAGTCACATAAGTTTGAATTTTAATTATATTTATTTGTGTTATTTAATGGGTGTCTTTCTCCTCAGCTAAAGCTCTACTAAGGCAGGAACTTTCTTCAGATCATTTCTTTTATCCCTTTTGTGCCCTAGCACTAAGTCTAGAATGACATAAAATACATACTTGATATATTTATTGTGTGTTTATTGAGTAAATGAAGAAAACATACTCTTCACTTTTCTTTTTTTCTCTACTATTTATTTCTCTCTTTATTCCTGGAAATAAATGTCAGTTATAATAAAGTGGAAGACTTTATGGAGCGTAGCTGTTTACTCTTTCACAGTTCTCTTCCTTGTATGCATATTTTAAGCATTTTTATTTGGCAGTAACCCCTTACAGTATTTTTGTAAAGTATTATTTAACCTTTATTCCCTGACATATACAGACGTAATACATGTTTATAGACACAACCATATATATTTTTGGTTGGGATGGATTAGAGAAGCGTGCAGTAGAGATTAAAAATCCTCAATATTAGCATTATATAATGAAAGAAAGGCTGGTACTTTGGGAGGAAGTTAATGGGACTAGGACTTTGAGAATTTGAAAGTCAACCTTGAGGAAGAGATGGGGAGAATATTTTCTATTGTGTTGATTTAAAGTTTTACGTAACCTGTATCAGGGCCTTTTATTCTGTAAGTCTTTTTAAGAATTTCTTTTTTTTTTTGCATATACATGAGAGTACAGAGAACAAATTGGAAAGGTGAAATTAAAAATTGGTTAAAATGCTTTGCAGTGTTTCTAAAATATTATGGCTATAGGCTAAAATAAAAGTAAGGATGTGTTAGTTCATGGATTGCATTTACTCAAATTTATAGATCTTTTCTGCTGTCACAATTAGATTGGTTATATTGCTTTTACACAGAAATTTCCTTTAAACTTATTTAAGTATTTTATCAAATGAACTTTTAGCAGTAGAGGGCTATTAGAAATATGGAGACTTATAATGTATTTATGTAACATTTCACCTAAGTTATTTGGTAATTAATCATCAAAATTACTGTTATATTTATTTTTTAATTTTACTTTCCATTTTTAGCAAAGTGTGGGATGCTGTCTCAGGAGATGAACTGATGACCTTGGCTCATAAACACATCGTCAAGTCTGTAGATTTTACACAGGTATCAGAAAATGGAATTTTTTTTAAGGAGTTAAATTGTTATTTGTATATTTGGTTTATATTTGGTTGGGGGGGGATTTTGGGTGCATATTTGATTTGATTGTAGGTTAAGCTATACAAATTATACTTTTTCTTGATTAATGATATAGGAGGCTTTTAAAACGCCCAGGAACTCTTGTATCGCTCCCCCGTCAATAGCGACAAACATCTGAAATGCCAAGTTAATGTTTCCCAACTACTTTCAGAAGGGAGAGGGTAAATTTGAGATCACCGGAGAACTGCTACTAAGGGAGGTGGGGAGCCGGGTCAGAGAAGATGGAGTGAATTTAAGTGTAAAGGGCTTTGGTGCTATGACACAGATAAATGCTGTATGGTATCTTCTCAGAAGTTACTGGCCTGTATCTCTATGTGACATGTGAGCTTTATGTGGATTTTATTTGGTGTTGAAGTTTCAAAGAGATACAGCCATTAAAATGGTTAATCTAGTAACATTTTGCTTGTTTGTGTTTTCAGGATAGTAATTACTTGTTAACTGGGGGACAGGATAAACTGTTACGCATATATGACTTGAACAAACCAGAAGCAGGTAAGCATAATTTATATGTGTTTATGGTTTTATTTTCTTTTAATTTAAATGATTTTTCCTAATTAATTAATGTTCATATGGGGGGGAAAAAATGAAAATGTAATCTATTACCCAGTATTAATTGTTATTTATGTATTTAGTTTTTGGTTCATATTTTTTCAGTCCCTTTTTCTGTGCAGATATATTTCTGAATATTGAGTTATTTACTATAATATACATGTGTAGCCTTCTTATAGCTCAAAAATTTATACTGATAAATTTTCTTATGTTAAGTTTAATCTTTAAAGGTAAATAACAGTGTTACTACCTTCTGGTAAGAGAGAATAGTTATCTATATTAGGCGAGAAGGGTGAGAATTCTGTGTGTACATATATTTAGTTTTTTGAACCATGTGAATATATTAGTTATTCAGGAGAAGTCTTTAATGTCTCCCTATGAATAAGTGAATTAACCAATCTCTTATCATAGCCTATTTGGGCTATTTACAAATTTTAAATGTAAGCAGTATTATGCTTAACCTCCTTATTGTTACATATATTTCCACAGTTGTTTCTGTAGGGTAACTATACAGAAATAGAATTGCTGGGATAAAAGGAGCTACACTTGAAAGCCATTGAAAGATATTACCAAAGTTCCCTCCAGCAAAATAAAAAACATATTTGTAGCTGATTTATTCTAGCAAACACTGATAACTAATTTTATCTTTGCCAATTTAATAGAAGAAAAATGATTCTTTTGTATTGTGAACCTTTAAAAATAATTTGAGGTTAAAATACTGTTGAATCCCATTGTGATGTATTTCTTCATTTGTGAACTTACTACCTGTTCATGCCCTTTGTCCATTTATCGTTGTGATGTTCATCTTTTTCTTACTGATTTTAAAGGCTCTTTATTGTAGTCTGATTTGTCATTTGCTTTTAAATTTTGTTAATAAGGTTTATGATAAACACATTTAAAAATTTTGGGCAGTGAAATCTTTTCATTTCCTTTATGAATTCTCTACTCATACAGAAGTTATAAAACACCTTTTCTTCCCTAGCCCAGATACTCACCTCTGTTTTGTAGTATTTTAATGTGTTCCTGGCCACATAATAACATATTTTATAAGCTACCAAAATACGATAAACAGAATTTTGTTGTATTTGTTATTTATTAGTTGTTATCTTAAATATTGTATCATGGGCATTTATTGTTTATTCACAAATGAAATTTGGAAGTTTGTAAAAAAGTCAAAGCTACCCTGGAAATTAAACAATTATTCTCAAGGTACCTTTTCTAAAAGCATTTCTAAGGTGAGAAAACAAACTAGATGATTCTACATTATGAAGAATTTTTCTCTTTAATCTCTTTGACAACTTTATGCCAAAAAGTAGCAAAAGGTACCTGTCTGACTTAACAAGTTAATTCAGGATGGGGGGGTCATTTTTTTAATCTTCTTTGCCTTTCTCAAAGCTGCTTTTTGAAAGGGGTTCTTCCATTCTACTGGCAATAGAAATAGTAGGTTAACTGAGCTTTTATTGTATGTCAGAGACCTGGTTAAACAGTTTAGATGTATATTTTTAATTTGATGCTTAAATTCAGACTATGAGGTGTAGGAATTATTGTTAATCTATTTTATTGTTGAAGAAATGTAGTCTTCAAAAGGTTAAGTAACTTGCCCAAAGTCAAAGTAGTGTAGAATAGTATTGCAGGTGGGGCAAAAGTATGGATGATAATTAATAATATTACAAGAATAAATTCCTGTTTCATGCACTCACAACTGTAAACCTAGTCTTGCCCCCCCCCCCCATATTGAGAATACTGCATTGCCTTTCATTATCCTTTTCTCCTAACCTCTACACTCTCCCCCTCCCCACCTCCTTTTTGTCTGTTACTCATAACAGTGGCTTGGATGAAGGTCCCAGTATTAGTGATAGTACTAGGATTAACTCAGGCTGTCTTGTTCCTTGGTCCGTGGTAGGAAATTATGCCACATTAGTTATTTTATTTTATTGTGCTACAATAAGCTTCTGATACCAGAAAAGTAGCCTAAAAGGAGTGGTGTATTTATTTTTGCTGCATACAGAATCATAGTTCTTGGGTTCTTTGTCATGCAGAAAATTTTTTGTTCTAATATAGAAAAATAGAATGTATTCTACATAAACAGCAAGTTTGAATTGTGCTGAGCTTTATAAAGTTGTGGTGTAATTTAAAGTGTGTGTTTTTTTTTTCTTTTTACATATTAAATTCTTCCCATATTGCTCAGTTTTGGAGATCAAATATTAACAAAAATATTTCAATATTTTTAGAACCTAAGGAAATCAGTGGCCATACCTCTGGTATTAAAAAGGCCCTGTGGTGCAGTGAGGATAAACAGATTCTTTCAGCTGATGATAAAACTGTCCGGTAAGTAATTTTTCTTTAGTAATTTAAAGTTTGAAAAATATTTGACCTTAGAGCTTATATTTTAAATATTTTTTTATAACTCTCATGTAGGAAGTATTGTCTCTAAACATTAAAACTTCAGTACATAGGTCACGTTCTTCTGGAGTTATCCATTTAACTATAATAAACAAAGTAGAATTTACAAGACACTTAGTTAAAATGACAAACACCTTATATGCAGGTGCTCTTTACCTGCGTCAGGGATTGGCTGATTATAGGGAGTCCATGAAATACCCGAAATTCTATACACAATTTTGTATTAAAAAAAAAAGATATATTTTTTTGTGGAAAGATACATAGTTAGATATGTAGCCATCACCAGATTCACCAAAATGTAAGAACCATTATTTAAAGAAGAGCACCACTGAAGTTAATTAGATTGGGGCCTACGGGTCTTAATAACATAGTTTTGTTAAAATTGTTTGGGAAGTGTATTTAAATATTAAGTTTGACTTTACTGACAAGCAAACAGTAATTTGACCTTGTATAGGAACCCAGAACTTCTTTGTGTATCTGTAATTTATGAGTTGGAATGCAGATTGTTTTACAGTTGTGATTCTTGGTTAATCTGCAGGTGTAATTAGGATTCAAGCTTTTTAAATGAGCAAATACCACCATATTTTCTTTCTTTTTTGCAGCCTTTGGGATCACGCTACAATGACAGAAGTGAAATCTCTAAATTTTAATATGTCTGTTAGCAGTATGGAATATATTCCTGAGGGAGAGATTTTGGTAATAACTTATGGACGATCTATTGCTTTTCATAGTGCAGTAAGGTATGTCAAAGAAATACCTTCATTTTCTTTTTTGGTAAGAAAGGACAACCTAGAATATTTAAAATTAGAAGGCATATATGAAAAGATATTAAAGTCTTTAAAAGGCAGATGTTGGCCTGTACTATGTAACTGTGGTAAATTAATTACTGAGAATCTGCGGCACACCAAAAATATATTTTTTGCTGATCTGACAAAAAAATAGGTATAATTTTGATTTATTTACATCGAACATCTATTGTTATATTGGCTGTTGTCATTTTTTATTTGACAGTCTAAGGGAAGATAGGTCAGTGCCCCTGACTAAATAATCAGGTATTGCATGTTTTAAAAATTCTTGGTGGCACACCAGTTGAAAATTGCTGCTATGTAAATCGGAGAGAAACGTTTCCATACCATTAATAATGTGTTTATAAAGAATTTGGTATACTTTAATCAGAGAGGTGAATCAAATTAATTTTCAGATATTTAGGATATTTACTGGTGCAGTTTAACAGCTTTGAAATTATTTTTCTTTAAAGGATCACTGGACTGGTACTGTAATTAATGTTTTTCATTACTACATAAAACCACCATGATTGTGATTCTCCTGTTTTCCCTTAAAATTTTGGATAAATCATTTTTTTCCCCTGTTCCCAAGTATGTGTAGACTTAATGATTTTTTTTTAAACAGGCTTAATTTTTGTGACTATAAATATAGTAAGTGTTCTTCAAAATATGGAAAATATAATTTAAAAAAATTTACCCACAGTGCTACAACCACAGATTGCAGAATATTAATGGTAGCTCTATTTTTTTTTGCCAGTCTTTTTTTTTGTTGTTGTTATATATGTATGTTTATTTGTGGGGTTCCCGACCCCCACTTTGGTTCCTGGAACCCTAATGAGTATATTTAAAAAAAAATATTCTTGACCATTAAAAATTTGTGGAAAAAATCGTGGAAAACAGTTTTACTCAGTACATTGCATTATAGGTTGCACTAGATTGTGTGACAATTTCCCTATTATAACATTGCAGTGAGTGTTAGGGTGCCTCTCTGTTTCCTTACAAAAAAATTCTGTAAATAAGAGTTCAGAGGATAGGAATATATTTAAAGTTCTTAGTATACAGGTTACTTAATTTCCTTAAAGATTATACTACATTTTGCTCTGATCAGCAGTCCGAAACTTTTGTGTAAAGGGCCAACTTTAAGATTTTAAGTGAGAGCAATTAGGAACGTAAAGGAACCAATGCACACCTAGTGAATTGGTAAAAATGGAATAATATTGCCCAAAGACATTATATTGTACAGCTCTGTTAATTGCTCACTCCTGGCTATGGGCAACATGCAGTCCTGCGTTAGACTATTGCCCAAAGTCATAGTCTGGTGGCCGGCGTTTGCTGGTCTATTAAATATTCTAACATTTGAGCTGGAAAGTTCTCTTCAGTGATGCCACATAAGTCATGACTAACTTTACTTTTCATGCTTTGTAGTGTGTGGTGATGGGAATAGGATGGCGGCGTTTAGGAGCTGGAATGCACTAATGTTTTGTATTGGAGGACTTCATGATTTTTAGGGTTGGACTAGAACCAGTATCCAAAGTCATTGATATTCAGGTGAAGCTGTTGTTATGGATTGAATTTTATTTCATAGCTGTAGTCTCAGATTTAGTTGTTCTTTTATTGCCTGATAGTAAAAACTGAGCCAATTTAAGCAGTTTATATTTTATGGGATTGAAGGTTTATCCTGTTGCAGAAGCTTTATAAATTCTCAGCAATTGAGAATAATGTATAAATGATGCTTTAATATCATTAGTTACTGTAAAAACATTTTCTGTTTACAAAGATAGTGTATGTCTGCCATGGAAAAACCAAGCAATACTGAATTAAAATTTTTTCAAAGCAAAAAAAAAAATCCCAATATATTAATACTGCTTTAATTAGCCAGCACACACCTTTCCGGGAAGACATCCACTGCACAAAATGTGGATCTGCCTCTATTGAAATGCCTCTGTATTCTGGGATGAACTCCACTTGGGCATAGTATCCTTATGAACTTTTTTTGCTAATACTGAGAGATTTTTTTGTTTGTTTTTGTTTTTTAACATTGCTGTACTTGACTAGGTGAATATTTACATGTTTGTTGGGTTTCAAAATTTAGGACCAGTTAAACATAACTAATTATTTCCTTGTATTATTTATGCAATATTCAAAATTTAAAAGTACTTATATAATTTTTTTCCCAGCTTGGACCCAATTAAATCCTTTGAAGCTCCTGCAACCATCAATTCTGCATCTCTTCATCCTGAGAAAGAATTTCTTGTTGCAGGTGGTGAAGATTTTAAACTTTATAAGTATGATTATAATAGTGGAGAAGAATTAGGTGAGTTGTCCTCTTTTTCCTCCCTTAAAATAATATAGTTACCTTTATCAAATGTTAGGTTTTAGTAATTAACACCCCAGCAAATTTTTCGGCTAAGTACAAGCTTGTAACCTCCAAGTGAAAAAGTCAAGGATTTTTATCCATTTTGTGTAGAGATGTTTATAGAACTTAAAGTATGCTGAATTCAATTTACCTTTTCCTTTTAACTTAGGTTTTTTTGTATTCTGACATTTTATAAAATAGTGTAGTGTATTTATTGGAGGGGCAAGCTTATGTCAAAGTCATACTAAACAGATACAAGGAGATTTGTTCTAAAGTACAGTGCAGGTAGGTAGCCTGTCTGCCTAGCTCCCCCCCCTCTTTGCCAACGTAGGAATCCCTAAGATTCTCTAGTAAATTGGGGGAGGGAGGTGTGGAAACAGCTGTAGCCTATTGTATGGATACCTTGGGGATTTGAATTGGAGGGGGTGGGGTTTTTGGTTTGTTTTTATTTTATTTTTTTAGGAGTCTTGACTTTTGCTTCTATTTTCATGATAATAGTTCTTAATAAAGGAAAGGGAAAGGCATGTAAGATTAATTTGAAGTTAATGCTCATCGTAACTTTACATTTATCTGGTGGACTAGGTATTTTAACCTTCCCAAAGGCTTTACTTTAACCGTCCCAAATAGTTTTTGCTTTTTGAACTAATGTATTTAGTTTTTATACTTTTTTTTTTTTTTTTTGTCTATAAGCTTCTACTTTATTTCTAGCTATCCTGCTTGACCAGCCAGTGAACTAGGCTTGTTAAAATAATAAAGAAGAAAAAACGATTTTTTAAAACTTATTTATTTATTTTTATCGATGATGCTGTTACAGTTGTCCTGACTTTCCCCTCTAGTCCTCCCACCCAGCACCCCTCACTCCCTCAGGCATTCCCCCCGACCATTGTTCATGTCCTTGGGTTGGCCATGCGCATACGTTCTTTGGCTGCTCCATTTCCTATGCTGTGCTTTGAATCCCCATGATTAATCTGTAACTACCTATTTGCACTTCTTAATCCCCTCACCTCTTCACCCATTCCCCCACAGCCCCCTCCCACCTGGCAACCATCAGAACGCTCTCCATATCCATGATTCTGTCTCTGTTCTTGTTTGCTTAGTTAGGTTTTTTTTAGATGAAATTGTTGATAGATTTGTATTCTTTGCCATTTTGTTGTTCACAGTTTCGATCTGTTTTTTAAGTATGTACCTTTAACATTTCTTACAATAATGGTTTGGTGATGATGAACTCCTTTAGTTTTTTCTTGTCTGGGAAGATCTTTATCTGCCCTTTGATTCTAAATGATAGCTTTGCTGGGGAGCAATCTTGGCGGTAGGTCCTTGCTTTTCATGACTTTGAGTATTTCTTGCCAAGTCCTTCTAGCCGGTAAAGTTTCTTTTAGAAATCAGCTGACAGACTTATGGGAACTTAACTAACCGCTTTTCTCTTGCTGCTTTTAGATTCTCTCTTTTTATCTTTAACCTTTGGCATTTTAATTATGATGTGTCTTGGAGTGGGCCTCTTTGCATCCATCTTGTTTTGGACTCTCTGTGCTTCTTGGACTTGCATGTCTATTTCCTTCACCGAATTAGGGGAGTTTTCTTTAATTTATTCAAATAGATTCCTAACTTCTTGCTGTTTCACTTCTTCTGGCACCCTTATGATGCGCATATTGGAATGCCTGAAGTTGTCCCAGAGGCTGCTTACACTGTCCTTATTTTTTTGGATTTTTTTTTTCTTATTGCTGTTCTGATTGGTTGTTTTTTGCTTCCTTATGTTCCAAATCATTGATCTGATTCTCACCTTCATTCACTCTATCGTTGTTTCTTTATTTCAGTAAATTGTTCTTTATTTCAGTTAAGTGTATCCTTCGTTTCTGGCTGGATCTTTTTTATGCTGCTGAGGTCCTAACTAAGTTCCTTGAGCATCTTTATAACCAGCGTTTTGAACTCTGCATCTGATAGATTGCTTATCTCCATTTTGTTTAGCTCTTTTTCTGGAGTTTTGATATGTTCGTTCATTTGGGCCACATTTCCTTTGTCTCCTCATTTTGGCAGTCTCCTTGTGTTTGTTTCTATGTATTAGGTAGAGCTGCTTTGACTCTGTCTTGGTAGTGTGGCCTAATGTAGGTGTCCTGTCGGGTCCAGTGGCACAGCCTCCCCTATCACCCAAGCTGGGTACACAAGGTGTACCTTTTTTGTGGGATGAGTACTCCCTCCTCTTGTAGTTGAGCCTTGGTTGCTTTTGGTAGATCAGTGGGAGGGATTTACTGAGGTCAGTCAGTTGCAAGGACTGGCTGTAGGACTGTCTGTGACCACATATCACCAACCTCCACCCTCCGTGGAAGGTCAGCTGTGCAGGGGCAGGGTGGTGGTGTTCTGACGTGGTCTGAAGCTGTCCACTGGGTGTGCTGGTCCTGGGGTTTCCTGGGTGGTGCAGGCCAAGGTCATCCCCCACCTGTGTTTTGCCCAGGGCCGCCCTGCCTGAGCTATGAGGCAGTCTGAGATGGCTGCTGCTTGTGCTGGGCTTAGAGATTCCCAAGGGCAGCCAAGCTGTGAATCTAGGCTAGCTGTTGCTAGTGCCAGGCCTGGGGCCACTGGGCAAGAGGTACAGGGGCTGGGGGCTCACTGAAGCCAGCTGTTGCTTGTTGGAGAGGATTTAGGAAGTTGTGACGCGTGAGCCAAGACCAGCCATTCATATGGAAAAGCAGATTGGGTGAGCCTGTAGGTTGGGTTGGGCAGTCTTTGGGCACCTCCCAGCCAGGTCAAACGGTGTTAGCCAGGTTGATGGAGTTTCAGATATGGCACCAGCCTGCTGGCTCTGTTGGACAGAGGGTTTACAAATGGGATAATGGCCTCTGCTTACCTTCATGCCAGACACTTCAGTTTCTCCCTTTATTCCACTGGTGCCTTTTAAGCAACTACCCTGGTGCTGGAGCTCAGAGGGAGTGAGTCTGAGCAAGTGAGTCTTTGTGTGCGTTCTTTAGGAGGAATTGCTTGGGGCTCCAGAAATTTCTTCCACCGACTCAATCTCTGCCGGTTTTTGCAGCCAGAAGCTATGAGGACTTATCTTCCTGGCACTGGAACCCTGGGCTTGGGGGCCTGGAATGGGGCCGGGACTCCTTGCTTCCAAGATACCCTCCCGAATTTTTATTCACTACGCGTGGGTGAAGAACCAGCTTGGTCTGCATCTGCAACCCTCCTACCTGTCTGGAATGGATGTGGTTTCTTTATTTCTGTAGCTGTCAGACTACCATTTAACTCAGTTTCTGACAGCTCTGAGTGATGGTGGTTCCACATTTCAGTTGTAATTTTGATTTGGTCGTTTGAAGAGGAGAGTCCTGCCTGCCTCTGTAGCCATCTTGACCAGAAGTAAAAGACAATTTTGTTTTGTTTCCTTGAGAAGGCTGATGGATTTGGATTGGATAAGTGGAACCTTGGCTAATGGGCCATATAAAATCTATTTTAATTGCTTATGGTTCACTCTTTATTGCTTGAATATAAGTAATTTTTAAGTAAGAGTTTCTTTTTAATTTTTATTTAGTGTGCAGTTTCAGAGTTTTAGAATGCTTTGGCCACTAGTATCGTTCGCTTTGAAAAAGAGAAGGAAATTATTTGCCTGATATCTGAGGTACAGTTAGTAAATACCAGACCTTGGGCCCAGCCATTCACATTCTGAAACCTCTTATTCTTTCTACTTGCATGATAATTTTTACTTGTGATAAATACTCTCATGATAGTCTCTGATAGGACAGAGATGGGGGAAGATGGTGCTTGAGATTCTTTGAGTTGAATAGACGTGGAAACAGATGGAACATTGGTCCAGTAAAGAGCTTTGAAAACTAGTAAGGTGGTGAGGCATTACAAAATAAATGAGAAAAGTTGTAAATAAAGATATTTAAACAGACCACCACTGCTAATCTATGCATTTTCTCATTAAATTTCATAGATTAAAATAAGGATCATTATTGATCTTTTATCTCAGTGTTCTGTGACAGAATGACCAGTGGTAGGAAATTAAGAGAAAGTGTGTAAACGAGCTCCATCTAGTGGCTCTCTATAGTCATAATGAAGACTTGGTTCCCTGCTAGATAGGCACTGAGTTTAGGATATGAAATTTGGAATTGAACTGATAGACTTTAAATTTACTTTCTGTAGAATTTAGGGAGGTTTTCATTCACTCCTTTCCTTCATCCTTATGGGGACATGAAGCCTTGGTTTTTTTGTTTGTTTTTTGTTTTTGTTTTGAAAGTGAGACTATCTGAAACCAGAATGTGTGCTAGAATTGGATAATCTTATTGATGAATGGTAGACATGATGTACCATTTCCTACTCCTCTTTTAGAATCCTACAAAGGACACTTCGGTCCAATTCACTGCGTGAGATTTAGTCCTGATGGAGAACTCTATGCCAGTGGTTCTGAAGATGGAACTTTGAGACTATGGCAAACTGTAGTAGGAAAAACATACGGCCTTTGGAAATGTGTGCTTCCCGGTAAGAATTTTTGTTCAGAGTTATCAAATTAAACTTTATAATTTTATGTCATTTTTTTATCATTAATGTTATCTCAATATTTCTGTCTCTTAGAGATTTTAAATTATATAATATAGCTTATGCAAAGGGAAGCCTGTGATTAAAAATCGGCTACTGTATTCTTTGTTTACATTTTTGTATATAATCTATTCTATTTCTGTGTTTTTGCACTCGGTGATTTGGTGAGTGGAATGGACCGAATTCAAAAGAGGGCAATATGAGGAATTTATAAGTAAATATATTTAATCTCTGAGTACCTTATTAATACAGTACACATATTTTTAATAAAAGTAGTTAGATTGGTCCCAACATAGTTGTTTGAACCTAAAAGTAATTTTTAAGCAAAGACACACTATTTCTATTACTAAAAAAAGGAGTTTTTCCTATTGTGTTGTATCTCATTGCTTGGAATAATCTTGGCTTGCTTTTCTTGCTGATAAAATAACTTCTATTATTGGTAATACTGTAATGCAATCCATTGCTTGTCTTTTCATAGAAGAAGATAGTGGTGAGCTGGCCAAGCCAAAGATCAGTTTTCCAGAGACAACGGAAGAGGAGCTAGGTAAATACTAATGAAATAACTTTTGTAGAATCCTATGGGACTTAAAATTGAAGTGTTAAGTGAGTTTTACTTATTGACAGAGGAAATTTATTAAATATGGAAATACTTAAATAATGGAAAATTTAAATATATATCCATATGTACACATTTCTGTAACAAATATTAACACCTACTGCCCAGTAGTAGGCACAGTGATGTCTTATGGAACAGCTGATTTCCTGTGTTTATTCTTATTGAACTTAGAGTCTAACTTACGAGTCTTACGCTAAAATAAACAAATTGTTACAGTTGTAGTTATTTAATATTGATGAAGCACTTACTATAAACTTAAGTGCTCTTTCCCATAACAAATTATATATGCCCTGATTATATCATATTGTTTGGGATTCAAGTAAAGGAGGAGTCAGGTCTTTCAAAGATGTGATGGAGTCATTGGAGATTTAGCCAAGAAGGTGGGCCCCGGGGAGGTTAAGTTGCGGTGTAAAAGTGTTAACTGGTAAAACATACGATCTCTTTCTTCATTGCTTTTTCAATGGTATGAATCATTATTGGCATGTACACTTACTCTCTTTTGCTTCCTCTCGCCAGAACACTAAAAAAAACACCCGCAAAACCTCAAAAATCCTTTTAATTCCTTCATTACACAGAAATGTATATTTCCTTCTTTCCTTGATAAAGTTGACTAATGTGACTTTTTTTGTTTTGTTTTGTAATTGTAGAAGAAATCGCTTCAGAGAATTCAGATTCCATCTATAGCTCAACTCCTGAAGTGAAGGCCTGAATATCATGCATATGCTACAAATAGTATACAATTTACGGACTAAAACAGGCAGGCAGAGAAAAGCATCAACCTTCTAGAGTTGGTCTCTGCTTAAGACAAACATGGAGCAGTAAATAATGAGGTATATAGAGGGATTAGCTCCAGTGCTCGACGTAACCTGGTGGTGTCTGTAAGTGAAAATGCAAGAGTGCCCAGTGAAAGCAAATGGAGTTATGTTCTTATAGTTGGAAGGTGTATGTCTTTTTAATGAATACGTGAAAACCAAGATTCAGTTTCTCTTATTACAATTAGGTTCTTGTAGCTGTTGATGATGATATGGTGGGAAAAAAATATATTGTCCTATTTTTCTGACTTTTCCCTTAAAGCAGAAAGCCTTTTTTTTTTTTTTTTTTTTTTTTGCTTTCAGTGTAAAGAGGGAATACTAGTTTGATCTCTCGTTCATTGTATACTGCTTCTGAACATCTAATTGTTTTTGTTAATGTCTAAATAAAATGCCTCTAAAACAAAACAGTGTTTCTTGGGAAAATTGATAAATATGAGTTTTGTAAGTGGAAATCACCTATATCATAACTGTAACAAAACAGTCTGATTAAAAGAATCTGCAGTAAACATTGTTTCCTAATTTTGAAATTCTATTGTACTGAATTTTTGAAATTTACTTGGGTTGCATTTACCTCCTTCCTTTTTAGACTGGATAGAAGTGCTTGCCTTGCCTTAAAATAAAAAACAAAAAAAAGCCCTTTCAGAATAATGACTTATTTAAATGATACATGCCCAGTTACAAGAAAAAAACCCTCTCGGAATTAGCAGAAGGATTGCAAAAAAATCACTCAAAATCCCACCACCCCCAAAATCTATTAAAATTCCGTGAACATTCATGCACATTACTGCATCCCTATGTGTATATAGGCATAGATAGCAAAGATTTTATAAAAATGGGATAACTGTAGACTTGCAATGTTTAGTTTACTGTATCCTTTAAGTTCAGATGGCATTCAAAAAGCCTGTTACCAACCTTTCAATAAAATGGATCAACTGAGTTTAGACTTGTATTCAGTTTTTAAAATATGGAGGGCATATTGAAACTAGTGCTTTGGAAATATTTTCAAACAACGAATAACATTTCTGCCAAATTGTTTTTTTCTCTCCTATACATCTTGTGAATGGCCCTTGATCACTTTCCTTTAAAAGAAATAACCCACAAGAGTGTGAGTTTTTGAAAATCTGTGGTAGCCAGAAGAGAGCACTGTAGGCCATGATGACCTTAGAGGGCGAAGAGGTGTTTGCGGTAGGGAAAACCTGGCCCTCTGCTTTTTAGCAGCAGAATTACCAATGTGCCACAGGTGGCCAGACTCTAGTCATAGAGCCTTACTTACCGTAAGTGAGGTTGAGATTTATATGCACCAGATTGGAATCATGAGATTGCTTGGTATTTATGAAATTTATGACCCAAGGGAATTTCTTCTACTTAGATTTCATAAAACTCTATACAGATAAATGCTGAACCTATCACTGGGTGGCATATGGCTTAGAATCTGTAAAAGTTGTTTTAAGTTTGTAAGTTGAGTTTCAGGCCATGAAGATCTGTCATAATATACCTTATGCAACTAGAATGTTCATGTTGGTCAGGTCTCTGGTTTATGTCTTGGATAAGCTCTTAGCACAGTTGAAGGGACGGGTTTACCCAGTTAAGACATTTTAGGTTTCAGCTTTTGCTAGATTTCTAGAATTCCTTATAATTATTAGTTTTGTTTTAACAACAGAGGGTATGTTTTAGGGATTTTACTAGTTTAATGGGTAATCTTGTTTTTCTTCATAGTCTTGTGTATGCTGAGTATACAGATCACCAAGCAGGATGTGGGGAGAACTAGTGTTTGGTATCTTGTGTTTTATATTGCTGCTGTTACAGATTATTACAGAAGTGTGGCTTAAAACAACACAAATTCAGCCCCGGCAGGTGTAGCTCTGCTGGAGCATCATCCTGCAAACCAAGAGGTTGCGGGTTCAATTCCCATTCAGGGCACATGCCTGGGTTGTGGGTTTGGTCCCCAGTCAGGGCTTGAGCAGGAGGCAACAGATCGAAGTTTCTCTCACATCGATGCTTCCCTTTCTCTCTCCTTTCTCTTCTCTCTAGAACCAATGAAAGAAAAAAAACAAAACACAAATTCATCTTAAAGGAGATCAGAAGTCCGAAATGAGTCTCACTGGGCCAAACCTAAGGTGTTGGCAGGGTTGCATTCCTCTGTAGTCCCTAGGAGAGAATCTGTCTCCTTTTCCCGCTTCTAGAGGCCACCAGCATTTCTTGGCTGTTGGTCCGATTTCCTCTGTCTTCAAAGCCAGCAGCAGAGCATCTTCAAATCTCTTGACTCTTTTGCTACCCCCTCTCAGTTAACAGTATTTGTGATTACAGTGAACCTACCTGGATAATATTCCCAGATCAAGATCCTTAATTTAATCAGATCCACAAAGTCCCTCTCACAGGTTTCTCACAGGTTTCATGGACTAGGACATGGATATATTTTGGGGGCCATCAGTCTGCATACCACACTTAGTAATAAATGCTACAGTAGAATTTATTTTAGCAAACCGTTTGTATATACTGTAGTTGCACTTGTGAAAGTTTCCGGTGTCCTGCATGTTTCTAACCCAGTGATTACTTTTCTGTCTTTATCTTACTAAAACCTTCAAAAGCATTCAATAGTTGTCTGCTTCCTTGTTTTGAAATATTTTATTGCACTTGTATGACACCACACTCCTGGTCTTCCTTATACCTTTCTGACTGCCGTATTTCTGACTGCTCTATTTGCAATTTCTTTTTTAGCTTGACCTCAGGCATATATACCTTGTAGCCCTGCTCTCTCCAAAGGAAAATAAAAATCATCCATGGCTGTGGTATTCATATCTTTTATATCTTCCAAATTTGTTTGTCAGGCCTGCCTCCCTGAGCACGAGACTTGAATGGCGTATTTGTGTTCCACCTTATTAACCTTTCATAAGCACCTCAGACTAACCTATCTAAAACAGTTAATTTTTCAACCAAACCTGTTTTGTTTTCAACTTGTTACTCCAGTACTACTTAATACTCCTTTGTTCAAACTAAAACACACATGTCCTTGACTCCATTCTCTGTAATCCCAAAATCTGGTGTACGTGGAAGTCCGGTGGGCTCTTTTGAATCTGCACCTTGCCTTGTGGTCACCTTTGTAGCCCCCTAGGCCAGCCTGTCTTCATGTCTCACTTAGACCTTTGCAGTGCCTTCCTAACTGTTCTCTTCTGTCCCTACTCCCCCCACCCTGCCTGTATCCTTTTAATATTCTATACAGTAGGAAAGAGAATGAATTGCTTTAGGATTTGAAGAGATCCGTTGACTACCTTGGTTTAATCCAGGGATGCAGCCCAGGATGGCTATGAAGGGGGCCTGACACAAAGTCGTAAATGTACTTAAAACCCTTTGTTCATCAGTTTTCATTAATGTTGTGTATTGAATGTGTGGCCCAAGACAATGCTTCTTGCAATGTGGCCCAGAGATGCCAAAAGGTTGTAGCTTCCCATTATATTGCACCATATTTTATTATGCTCTGACTTCAGCCTTCTGTGACCTTTATATTTTTCCCTTTCTTGCACAGCTCTAGCCAAAGTTGCTTTATTTCTGTCTCAAGGCCTATTCACTTCGCTTGTTATTTCTTGCTTGTTATCTGCTTGGCTCACTGTTACCTAAATATTTGCATGGTTCAGCCTGTTGTGATCCAAGTCTGAAACGCCCTGTATCCCTTCTTTTGTCCCATTTTATTCATAGTTCTTACCACTGTTTGAAGTAACCTTACATATTTTTTTGTCTTCAGTAGTTCTGTCTTTGCTTAGGTGGCTGGTATTCTGTAAATACTCAAAAGTTGAAACAAGGCCCTAAATTAGCGCCAGATCTTATCAGACCAGGAGGATTATTTCCCAGTTATCCCCCATGAGCACCATCCTCTCCACTGTAGAGTCAGACACGGCAGGAACCTACTCAGGTCCTTGCTTTACCCTTGAATAGCCTCAGCCAACTTGAGACCCAACGAATTACCTAGGAGGAGTCCCACTGGTACCGTACAGTCCCACATCTCCTGCACCCGCTCATTCTTTCCCATTGCATTTTTGTTCTGGGGCTTCCTTTTTATGTTCTAATGTCCAGTAGGTCACTTTAACAAATTCCTGCCTAAGTTTTAGTATTTTACATTGTGAATCCTTACCTTTCAGTGTTCCCGTCATTCAGAGGTTTCCAAGAAACCAGAATTCAGCGTGGTCCATCAATTCTCTTAAGTGTTTTTCCATCAGAAAAGTTCAACATTCTTGTTAATGACTACAACAAAGTACAGTAAAGATGTACCATAATTTAGTTTGTAGGTTACATTTTTAATAGTTTAAGTTCAATGGAATTCATTTAGCCTGCCTTTTCTTTGAGGCTAAGGTGCGGGGAGTAGAGAAAGGGATGTAATTTTTCAGAAAACAACAAAATGGGGGAATTGAAAATACAGACCAAGGGAAAATACATCTTCAGTAAGTACTTTGTGTTTTATACCCAGATAGTTTAAAACAAAAAGTGTTTCTTATATGGTTATCATATGTGTGTACATTACATGTTCTCTTACACTAAGGGGATCCTAAGGGAGAATTACTGGAGCAAGATCGTTATTGGGAGGCTTGGCTTTCTTATCTATCAGAATGTACAATTTTCAGTGTGATGAAGTGTCACCTAGATCAGTGGTGCTTTAGAAATCAATAGATCCCTCCCCTGACTGGTGTGGCTCACTGGATTGAGTGTCGGCCTCTGAACCAGAAGGTCTCTGGTTTGATTCCCAGTCAGGGCACATACCTGGGTTGCGGGCTGGGTCCCCAGATAGGGGAGTACAAGAGGCAACAGATTGATATATCCCGCATTCATCAATGTTTCCCTATTTCACCCCCCTTCCCCTCTCTAAAAATAAATAAATAAAATCTTAAAAAAAAAATCTAAATAGAGTTCCTGAAGAAACAAATGAGGCAGCTAACAAATTTACCTGTGGACACAAGGTTGAGGTATGCAGCTAATAGCTAATGAGTAGTATTTTATAGGTTGAGTCACTTTACATAATTAATGAGAGAATGGAACTTGGTCAAGTAGAAAATAACTGATTATAGTTTAAAGACTGCATATATGACAGTAGTCCCATAAGATTATAATGGAGCTGAAAAATTCTTATCGCCTAGTAACATTGTTGCTGTCTTTTGTAGCACCTCCATTACTCACATTTGTGGTGATGCTGGTGTAAACAAACCGGCACTGCCAGTCATATAGCACATACAATTATGTACAATACATGATACTTGACAGTAATAAACTATGTTACTGGTTTATGTATTTACTATGCTTTTTCTTATTATTTTAGAGTGTATTTCTACTTAAAAGGAAGTTTGTTGTAAAATAGTATGCCATGTAACCCCAGCAGCAGTCTCGTGTCTACTGCATCTCTTGATTGCACCATTTTCTCTTGCACTTGATATAATCTTGGGTTTTATACGTGTCGAGTAGCCTAAGTGCACAGTGTTTATAATGTCCACAGCAGTGTACAGTCATGTCCTAGGCCTTCACATTCGCTCTCCACTCACCCAAAGCAATTTCCAGTACTGCAAGCTGTATTCCTGCTAAGTGCCCTATACAGGGGTACCATTTTAACTTTTATACCATATTTTTAGTCTTTTTTAATTATATAAATTATTTTTTAATGTATAGATTAAAATTTAATATTTAATATAGATTAATGTAAAGACTAAATACCATATTTTAGTCTTTTTTAATTATATAAATTATCTTTTTTAATGTATAGAATGTGTAGTTGCACAAATACCACTGTGTTAAAACTGCCTACAGTATTCAGTACAGCAATATGCTATACAGGTTTGTAGCTCAAGAGCAATAGACTATACCACATGGCCTAGGTGTGCAGTAGGCTCTGCCCACCTAGGTTTGTGTAAGTGCACTCTGCGATCTTCCCACAACTATGAAGTCACCTAACAATGCGTTTCACAGAATATATCCCCATTGTGAAGTGGTGCATAAGTGTACATGGGAAACCTGATTGCAGAGGAGTCAATGGTTCGTCTAATGAATTTGGCCTGAGAGAGAGGGTGGGCATAGCTAAGTGTGGCCTGGAGGGTTAAATTGCCTGGGTTTGCATCATCCTCTAGTACTTACAAAGTAATCTCTCTGACACTCAATTTCTTTATCTGTAAGGGGAGACGATAGTTCTCACACAGATATTTTGGGGGAAATACCAAATAACTGATGTAAAGGGCTTACCTCATTAGAATATTAACTAATATTATGTATTTAATCTTTCACTAATCCCTATCTTTGGGATTTGGTGGACTAATGGATTAGAAAAACAGGGAGATGGGCAAGATAGAATGGTCTACTAATGTTGCCAAGTGAAGCTATTGAAAAAGAAAAAAAATTACCACCACAATCTTCATTTTTAAAAAAGGACATTTTATTTTATTTTTTTATTTATTTTTTCAAATACATTTGTCTCTGCCTACCCCCCACCACTTTCCCTTTTAAAAGGACACCTTAAAATTCAAGTTGTAGTGAAGGATGTGGTCTCAGAATGAAAAACTTCTTTAAATTGAATAAATTTAGCTTAATAAAAGACTCGATATAACTTATTTTTCTTTTTTCACCGTAAAGGAGGAATTACATGGTCTATAGGACCCCCTTCAGTTGTGAAATAATCAATTGTAATATTCACACCCCTCCCTAATCTTCCCTGCTTCCATACTTTCCCCACCTCACTTAGAAGGGGAAGGGACGTAAAGGAACATGTATAAAGGACCCAAGGGCAAAGCCAAAGTGGGGGAGGCAGGGGTAGGTGGGGTGGGGGAAAGTGGTGCTGGGACGCTGGAGACAAGTGTGCTTGAACAATGATTAAAAAATGAAGAATAAAGACATTTATAGATTTAAAAAAACTGGTTGACAATACATTATCTAAGTGGATTGACTAAGTGGAGTGACTGCTCTGAGAAATCATGGAATTAGAGACTACAAATGAAATTAGACTAGATAAAACAATGGACACTATAGGGAACCAGCACAGACAGTACGCAATCACCTACCTAACAAATAGTCACAGCCTACTCTGCGCCAAGTACTGTAATAGACACTAGGCATAGGACTAACCAAACAAATAGTCAAAGACCTTTGGAATTCTCCTATCTCCCAGGCCAAGTAGGTTCTTGAGGCTTCAAGATAAATATGACACATTCCTGGGGCTTTAATTTAAATTGAAGGAGGAATGGGGATGGGAAGACAAATTTACATGGCAATTTAAAATTTATATTCAAAACATCCACAAAAAGAAATGGCATGCAAAGTTCATGGATTAAAAAAGAATAAAATACAGTTTTACCCTTGTAAGTGCCAGTTTGGACTATATTTCTAAACTGGCATGCATAGCTTGCTCTCCTCTGTGTCTAGGTTGATGTTTTATACTTGGCTTGTGTAAATACCATTTGAGGAAACGTGTTAAAATGCAGATTCCAGGGCCCCGGAGTAGGGCTGTGGTGAAGTCTAAAATCGGTTTTAGAGAAATACTCTTGGAAGATTGCAGTGTGGCAGTAGTGGTTTATAGATCTTTCTCTGAGAGGTCTTGCCTTGGGGGTCCTTCCAAAATTTCAGAAGGCAATACTGCATTTAAAAGGGAAACTCACAAAGGGAAACTCACAAAGCGAACCTCAGCTACATTTCTCCATGAAAGAAACTCACATTTTGTGTTCTATCACCACTGTCTCTCTGAATGGTGCCAACTTAACATACTTTCAAGTGGTAGAGATTAATTCCAGAATGGTACTGTATAACAGGTCAATTTTAGAAAAAAGTCCTTGAGAAATTCTTGTCAGATATATTGCTAAAATGTTTGCTGTAGGAGGCTGCCCTGATTCTGGCTTTTTTAGCTAAATTGGGAATCTCACAGTTCTTTGTTTTGTTTTAATAAATTTACATTATACATGAACATATAATGAATAGCTTGGATAGAATTCTATTTGTTGCCCCTGCATATTTTAAGAATGTCAGTGTTCTCCATTTGAAGACCACCAGGAACACACCTGTCCGTAATTGGATAAATTTGGGTTCATTGACTTATTTCAATAAGGAAGAGAGTGTTCACCATGGGAAACTGTGAGGTGTCCTAGTAAGAGCATGTTAAAAATAACATGTGATTTGGGCTTGTGTATGATGATTTGGGGAAAGTTCAAGGAATTGTGCCTTTGCTCTGGATTGGATTGCAGGCAGGAAGTGGTGACAATACTATGACAAGCTATCTTAATTCTTCTAAAACACAGGGAGAATGGGATGAGGCTAAAACTGATGGGTAGGGATGTGACAGTCACTTATATTAGCCAGGATTGGAGGAGGCTATTAGGTACTTTTTGTGGTTTGGGCAATATTCATTTTGCTTTCTCTTTTTTTCCTGTGTTCAGACAAGATTCTGAGCAGCCTTGTTTTTCTGTTGATCCATCATGGTCATGGTGGCCTTCGCTGATGTTGGCATTCTGTGAATCTTCTTATGTTTACTGTAGAACACGATGATGTAGCTGTGCCAGGCCAGCTTCAGGCTTTGAGGGGCTGCTTTTTCTTTTTCAGGGTTAAAATAAGAAAAAAAGGTAAAATGTTATTATATGTTATCAGTAGAATCTAGACACATCCAAAATATTCACCATAGTTAACTATTGTAACTAACTAGCCTGAGAGGCAGCTTAGTGTAGGGAAATAAGACTGGGATTACTTTTGCTATTCAGTCCCATAATTGCCCTGAGAGCCTGACAATATTAACAACTTCCATTTGCTGAACACTTAACCTACTATATGCCTTGGCGTGTCCTAGATGCTTTACACATATGCAACAATTTTACAGGCAAGTCTATTTTGATCATCCCCACTTTTCAGTCAAGTAGACAATAACATTCCTAGAACCACCTAGTTAGTAAGTGGAATTGCAGGTATATTAAGGGGTTCTATGCACTCTGAGCCTGCTCAGGTTCCACTATACCAGGATGCCTTTCTAAAAGAACTCTAATGTCTGTAGGTATAGCAATGGAGATATAAGGAGATATGATACATACTTGGTAGGACTGTTCTGAGACTCAAATGCCAGCAAACATCTAAAAGCACGTGTTTGGTTTTTTTTCAGGAGGGCCCTCTGTGAGTACAGATGAATTGACTAAGTAGCCTATGTTGAGCGACTCCAGACAATTTTAATCTTCTGGTCACAGAAATCAGACTGAAAAAAAAAAAAAAAAAGTGTCACAGCTTCAGAGTTTCAGGCTCCAAGAAACTGTCAAGGTCATTTCTTACAGATGAGGAAAATGAAGCTTGGTAAGGCATTTGACGTGGCCAGTGTCAAAGTGTCGGAGCAAGGCTGAGAAAACAGGTCTTCTCCTGGGCCCCGTTATTGTTCAGGCCACAGAGCTGCCTCCCCCCTTGGTATGCAAAGCCACAGTCAAAAGTTTCTAAACGTTCTTATCCCGTGCAGTCGGCAACTTAAATATTTCCAAACGGGTTTTGGGAGCGTTCCTTCCGCGAGCTGGTGCCCGCGTTCTGCACCTCGTGGAGAGGACCCGGGAGGGGGACGGCAGGATTTCCTCGCAGAGGGCAAACTTGGGGTCCTGACCGAGCGACCGAAGTGCCCGGCTCCGCCCCGAAAGGGGACAGGGGCGGGGCGATCGCCTCTTTCTCGCGGGGCCGCCCGGAAGGAGGAAGGGTTGGGCGGAGGCGATCCCAGGCTCAGAAGCCGGCAACTGCTGCAGCGTCCCGCACCATGTCTGCGCGCAACCCGGGCACGGAGCTCGGTAAGGGCCCCTCTCCTCGCCTCCCGCGCGCCCGCCTCCAGCTTGCTGCCTCCTCCCTGCCAGCGCGGGGCTTCGCCGCCGCTCGGCGCCCCTGGTCCCAAGCCGAGGGGTCGCTGGGCCGGCCAGCAGCGGCTCGGGGGCCGCTCCCACCCCAAGGCGGAACCGGGGAGACCTAACTTTTGGGCACGTTGTCGCCGTCTTTGACCCCCAAGCCTTCTTTTTCTAAGAGGAAGGAATAGGAAAGGATCCGACTTTCGTCTGCCCATTGTTCGTTCACCTTCTTAGCTCCTTGATTGTAAAAGAACAAAAACAAACCCCTGAAACAAACAACAAACAGATGGAAACTTTCCTTGCCCACTCTTAATAGAATTCCTGTGTGATCTAATAGCTGTATCCCCAAAGTGGCTTTGCTGGTGGAAACGTTGTCAGGCCTCTGTACTGTATAATTTACAAAAATTGCGTATGATTTTAGAGGTACGAAGATTTGTAAAAGTGCTCAATCAATTATTTCACCATTTTAAAAATTTTATTGATATTATTTAATATTCCTGGCAAGAAAACTTAGTTCTGATTTCAAAAACATGTGAAAAATTTGTAATTCAAACGTAGCAAAACCGTGATCGGCCAAAGGTTAAGGATCTCTGTTAAAGCTTTATAGCTTGGATCTGTATCCTGGATCTTTACTCTAGCTGTGTGACTTTGGGCACATTGCTTAATCACTCGGTGATTAAGTTCTTAATCTATAAAATGTTTATAATAGTATTTGCCTCATAACATGGTTTGGGATTAAGAGGACGTGAAGTATGTGGTACATTGTGTATACCTTCTAAGTGTTACTAAATAATGGTGTTACATAGAGAGTTGTTTTTAGGGGCTAATTTTGAGAAAATTAGCTCTAAGTTTTATATATAAAATTTTATATATATATAAAAGTACATAAAGAACTTTTTTTTTCCCTTTAAAAGTATCTGTTCTAATTAAACGGTCTAGAGGTGGTCCAGAGAGTCTGTTGGATGGCAAGAGTGTGTTTTTAGAAAGACAATTGATTTCTTCAAGTCGATTCCCTTTTACTCGCTGTCTTTAAGGAGATTATGTTTTAAACTCTAGTTCTACTTCTGGAATGTGGACTTTAGTAATAAAGGAATATTCCCTGGATTGGAAGATCCTGAAAGATGCTGGATGGGGCCTAGGGATGGGGTGCAAGTGTCTTCAGGGGTGTGACTGTGTGACTTTGTGCCCATAGAGGATGCGCTGTTATTTTCCCTAAACTTAGAAGTTTATTTTTTTTCTTTCAAGAAATACAGTTAAACCATTTTTACTTTCTTTTTGATTGAGATATAATAGGCAAAAATGAAAACTTCAAGAGTATCTGAAAAACAACAGAAAAAAAGCAATTGAAGACTGATTTTTCTTTTTTGGGAGGGGATGGGGTCAATTCTGTGGGTTTCCTGTATTATGTTAACAAGACATTGTTGTAGGCACATATCCACAAATTAAAATCATCAGAGGTCATGATTATTGTGGAATGTAAGGACTGTTTTGCTCTGTAAAGGCACTTTCTGTAATCCAAGTCAGAACAAACAGAAAGGGCAGTTTATTTGTTTAAAACTTGATAAAAAGAGATCAGCTTTGGCTCGTTGCCAAACTAAGAATCATGATGGGATTTATTTTATGAAGCACATTCATTCAACAAGTAGTTACTGAGTACCAGTTGTGTACTGTGTCTTACTGTCCTGGGGACAGAAGATGGACAAGGGTAGTCCCTGCTTTTAAGGAGGTAGGCCTGGCTCAGGAGCTGGGCGTAGAGCCAGAGGCACAATGAAAATAATTGCAAATACGGTATGCATCAATAGTTATTTTCCATTTTTGTTTATTTAGGAAATTAGATAGCCCTGTTCAAGGGTAGTACTTTGAAACTCTTTAGGTATACTGTTATTCTGCAAACTTTAAATTTTATTTGTTTGTTATATTATTATACAATTGAGATTTCCTGACTTGTTACTGTTATTATTTAATGCTCAAATTGTTTCAGATTTTGCTACTGAGAGCCCCTTTACCCTAGCTTTTCTCTTTCTCTTCTCATTTTTTTTTTCCTGACATGCCCTATTATTTTTAAAGAATTTCCTTATTTTCTGGCTTTGCAGGTATTCCAGGCTTATTTGATACTTTTTCCCCTGTCCTAGCACTGGAGTCAGCTCTTTCTCCAAGGAGCATTTCTTTCTATGGATAATGGTACTTAGAAGCCAAGATCTGTGCAGTAGGTATGCTCATGGCAACCGGACTGTCTCTATTCCCATGTCTCTCACTTGGCAAAGCTGGAGAATGTATGTACCATACACATACACACTTCTGAATCCATCTGTCTAGGTTGGCCAAAAAGTTTGTTTTTCCTGTAAGATGGCTCTAGTGGTGCTTAGCTGTCTTTAACCTCATTCAATACAATTTTGTTAGACAATATTGTGACAGCTGTCATATCAACGTACATTTGAAAAACCCCATCAAAACTGGTGAATTTTTGTGTAGTCATTTTAATATTGAAGATGGAAGAAAATATACAACATTTTGGCATATTATGCTTTATTTTTCAAGTCCAACACCTTAACCACTTCGCCATCGCTGTTACATATAATGCTTTATTTTTTAAAGAAAGGTAAAAATGCAACTGAAAGACAAAAAAAAAATTGTGCAGTGTAGGGAGAAGGTGCTGTGACTGATCAAACATGTCAAAAGTGGTTTGTGAAATTTCATCCTAGAGATTTCTCGTTGGATGATGCTCCATGGTTGGGTGGATCAGTTGAAGTTGATAGTGATAAATTGAGACATTAATTGAGAAAAATCAACCTTACACCATGCAGAGGAAGATAGCTGACATACTCAAAATATCCAAATCAATAAGGTTATTGGTGAATATGAAAAATCTGTCCTTTATTTTATGGAAAAAAGTCATACGGACTTTTTGGCCAACCCAATATATGTCTATGGTGAAAACCATGAGTTCACAGTGATACTTCCAATACTAGTCCAACACCACAGGATTTATTCTTTTCTTCTCTCTTCCGTATTTGAAACTTCACATGCTGGGCCGTGCACACCCCACCCACCGCAGACGTTCCCCGACACTTTCTCAGGCTCTGACCCCCGAGCTGGGTGCTGCCCTGCCCCTGCGTCAGGCTGCAGCCCTCGCTGGCACTCCCAGGGGCCGCGCTGCGGTCTGCATCGGGCTGCCCCTGCCTGTGGATGGCTTCCTTATCCTGCTTGTCTTGACTTTCCACGTTGGGCTGCCCTTTTGTGCAGATTCCCTGTGTGTTGTGATTGGAACCTGGGCGACTCCTCTGTGTGAGTGCCTCCTTCCCTTGTTGAGGTTCCCACACCCCACTGCGGCCGTGATGACTCCCCCACCCAGCCTGGCCCAAATGTCCACCTTGCTCACATCCTCCCACCTCCCGTGCCCATTTAGGACAGTTGTACAGGAAGTAGGAGAAGACCAGAATAACATTTTAAATCTATTTTATATATTGTATTTTGATACAATTTAAAAAACAAACAAACCCAAACTGGTGTGCCCACTGTTCCTGGCACTTGTTGTTGTGCATGCTAGTGGCTGCCGTACCAAAGTGAGCATAACCCGGGCTCTGCTCTCCCGGTGCTCACAGTCACTGAAGGGAGACAGTCCTGGAAATCATGGCAGCTCGATGAGAGTGACCATAGAGGAGTGGTCAGATCGGAAAGACTCTAGCGGTGGTTTTCTGGGAGCGGGTAATTTTGACGGGGAGTAATTTCTGCAAAGGACCTGAGCTTGGCTTATTTCATTAGCTGTAGGAACCCCATTTTCAGATTTCTATTGTAATTTTCTTATTTTGCTATAGTGATGAAGAACAATATTTTAGTGAAGAAAAAAGAAAAATTATCCCGTGTATGAAATGCGTACACAGAGTCAACATAATGATTGTATGGATTATTAGATTTTAAATTGGACATCCTTTTATGAACACTAACTTTGATTTTACCTTAGACGTCTTTTACTGGTTGCTTATAAACATGACTGATGAGGCTGTGTTTTATTATTCTGGTACTGTTTTGATAGCTAGAAAAAACTACAAAGTAATAATTTGGGTTTGTTGTATAATTGAATAATTAAAAGTCCTCCATGGTGCCTGCTAAGTTAAAAAAAATATTTTTTAAAAGCATCTAAGCCCTGTGGACTCTAATTGTTAGGAAGGAAGACAAACTTCAAGCGCTTATTTAAAATGGGACGCCTCTGCCAGGAAAGACAGACTAGTAAATGAGACAGCCGATGGAGCCCTTGAGGATGCGATGTGAGCATGTCACTAGAAATTGTTTAAGTGGAGAGCTCTGGCCCTTTTAAAACACTGTCTGTCACTTGAGGATTGGGTCACCTTGAAATGTGTTCATCTTTGAGTTAAAGGCATAAAAAGGCACTTTGAAATTTTTCCATTGACTTTGGTGTGTGTTGTGTGCGTGTCTGTGGATGTACCTCTCCTCAGCCTGCCTCAGCCGCAGCAGTCAGTTCCCTGGAAACCAAAGTGGTTGCAAGAGCAGAATAAATGTTTCATCTCAGCTCCAGCAAACTATACAGGTTTTTAAAAATGTTGAGACACTCCGGCTGCAACTTCTGACTGTCTTTTTACGGTCAGGCTTTTCTCCCTAAAGCAAAGTCTCAGATGAGAGTAGCCTCTGGTAATTACCTCCTAAAAAGGTGTCACTTAACAGGTGCTTTGGTTCGTTTGGGATGTGGTTAATAATGTCAAGATTGTGGTACTTTCAGGTCTGGTTAAGAGAGTCAAATTAACTGCTCTTGTAATCCAGATTCAGATAAGCTATTCTACTAAACACACAGTGGTCACACTTCTTACCCCAGGGCCACAAGATAGGAGCGTGTGTATCCGTGTTTGATTTCATTAAAATATCTGATATATGACATTCAATTAGGTATCTGGCATGCTTAAGATACACAGATTTTTTTTTATCTCTCATGTAGA